TCCCAAACATATCCAAAGGTTAGCTACAAGGGGCAGCTTGATTTACTGAAAAATGTATATGTATGTATTTGAATCTCTGCTACAAGTGAAAGTTTCCAGTATATAATAAACACATGGGTTGTTCACACTTGCCTGGCTATCGTGTGTATGTTATTGTTGTAATTCTGAATAAAAATATAACCACATAACCAGATAACCTGATAATCAGGCACGTGTGAACAACCCAACAGATTTGGTACTTAGGTTGAAGAAATATATAGCTAAACCACAGCCCACTCTAAAGCACGGAAATCCGTTTTTAGCATTTCACAAAAAATGCAAATTTTGTAGTCCTTTATAGAAGAATGGAACAACGGTATTTTCAGTGATGAAAAAAATTTCCAAGATTTTAAAATCATATGTATATGTAAAATTTAAAATAAAACAAGTAAGAAAGTCTAAGTTCGGGCGGAGCCAAACATTAAATACCCGGCGCGGGTACCGCTACATGGTAAGTCGGAGTGTACCAATTTTGAGTAAATTTCGAAATATGTAGTCTCAAGCATTTCTGAAATTTGCCGTTATATTAAAAGCGGCCGTAATTTTAGTCCGATTTCAATAATTTTCAACGTTGTGTGGCAAGCACAATAACCATACCGAGTTTGGTACAAATTGGTAGAACGGTTACCGAGATACATATATGTGATCATAAGTGGGCGGTGCCACGCCCATTTTCCACAAGTTTATCATAAACGGATTTCTTGGTAAAGAATCGTTGCAAGCATCAATTTTGAATAAATTAGTTTTAACATTTACTGATTTATCGAATATTTCGTATTTCGCTAAATTACCGTTATAAGGGATGTGGGCATGGTTATGGTCCGATTTTTTAAATTTTCGGCCATTTGGTATGCTGTACCAAGGTCAACAACTGTGCCACGCCCATTTTCCAAAAATTTATAATATTCTTATTTTTCGTCTAAAAATTATTGTAAATATTAATTTTGAGTGCATGATCTTCAGTAGTTACTAAAATATCGCAGTTTTCGTATTTCTGAAAATTACCGTTATATGTGAGGTAGGCGTGGTTATTGCCCATTTTAAATACCATCCGTCCTATGCCCGAAAGAAGAGCACGTACCAAGTTTCGTTAAGATATCTCAATTTTTACTCTAGATATTGTGTGCACAGACGGACGAACAGACAGACGGACGGACGGACAGACAGTCACAGCTTAATCGATTTCTCTTTTCATTCTGATCATTTATGTATACATTTGTCTATATCTATCTCGATTCGTTTTGCCTGTTACAAACAACCGTTATGTGACCAAAGTTATAATACCCTTGTGCGCTCGGGTATAAAAATTAAGTTTTTCAAAAGTATTGTTCCCAGCATACCAGCTGAGTCCGATAATAGACCGAAAAGGTGGCTTTACGGTTTTTCAAATGTTCTTAGTTTTATTTATAACTAATAAGTATTAAAGGTTTTTTTATCATTTATTTTTACTGAAAAATGCTAAATTACAGTTTTACATATTACATAGTAAAAAACAGATAAAAACGGAAAAGTCCTGAAGTAAATAAAAAAATATTTTTTATCTTGTTTAAAATACATTCCTTCTAGGTTTGGAACCACTTTGCGCCCGCTCTATGGAATTTCTTTGCCAGATCCAGCATATTTTTTATTAGTTACATCTGAAAAGTTCGAAAGTTAGACAAAAGTAGCAACAGCTTTTTTTCGGTGTCCCTTTTCAGGAATATTCCGAAACGACGATCAGTTTCTTCTTGATTTAAAATTTCTTTTTCATTTCACAGACTAGATGAAAAAACTCCCCAATTGAAATGAACGTAGCAATGCTCTGTTCATTGTAAAATTTGAAAAAATTTTCCATGCAAATATATCTAAAGTGGTCTAATCATTTTTAAATCTGTTCGTGCAAAGTTTCAGATCGAGCACTTTAATTTGATACATGACTTGTCTCTGTACGATTATTTTGAATTAGGGAATGAATTATTGAATTAGTACACTGTTACCGTTTTGGTATATTCTGCTTTTACCATTTTCTCATTACTGTCATACTATTTTTGGTTTTAAGTTTCTGTACTTCTTTGAGCTATGAAATAGTTAGATTAAGCATGCATGCTTTCAAATGTTTAGCTTGAGCAAATAAAATACAATTATTGCTTTCAAATGAAATCATCTTTTTCGAACGTTTCGAACGTTTTGCGGATACGAAAATTGATGATTACTGTAGGAATGTATTTATTAGATAGAAAATTTGAATTGCCAGAACATCGTCGAAACATTTTCTTCATGCATGGGCACGCGTTTTATTTACCACCCCAAAATTATTTGTGAAATGACACCCTGAAACTTTGTTGAGAGACGAACACCTGAGCTCTTTGACACCCAATAATCTGCTTAGGTTTATTCGTAAATCGTGCAGATTTAAAATAGATTAAAAGGGACATGAAAACAGTACAATGGACGGCACGTAGTCTGAGTGTTGTTTTGTGCACGCGTTGTTTTTTGCCTGGTTCCGACAAAAAAAAAGTACGGTGATAAATTCCTTCCTTTGAAAAATTCGTCAAATTGCTAGTGCGCAAAATTAACATACATAAATTTCCTTCCAAAAAAAACTTTAACCAAATATAGAAAAGAAATCGGTTATATTATGCTCAAATAGGCCCCATTTAACTTGTTAAATGAAAAAGAGCTTTTTGTAAAACACAATCGTCCGCATTGAACATTTGGAGTGGACTTTGACGGTTGTTTGATTTCAAATAAAAATTAAAAAAAAATATATTCAAAATCAATTTTGTGTTTCAATTTGTTTTGTGCGAATGTCTGCTTCATGATATTAACGCATACGGATTACTTAGAGACTTCAAAATGTTTAGTTCCTATGCACTATTTATCTCTGCGTATGATGAGACCTCATGGCAAATAACTATTTACCGCCTTTTTTTCTTTTTTAGCGGGCGACATGCATACAATTTTGATATTTTTTGATAATTTTTAATTTTTAATATTTTTCAGAATATAAATTTTTTGAACGTTGGCGTGTCAAATGAAAGCTTTTGGGTCTTTCTGATTGGCCGGAGCAGAAAGCTTTCTGATACAACTCTGTGCTGAACTGGTTTTCAAACGAGTTAAATGATTTAACTGGTTCAATTTTGCAACAACAATTGCATGCGATTTAACTTGTTTATGAACATGTTTTGTTCATTTAACTTGTTTAAGCCCATTTAACATGTTTAGCTCGTCAATTTGAACGTAGTGTTAGACTCTTCAATGCACTATTTATCTCTGCGTACGATGACACCTGATGGGAAATAACTGATTACCGCCTTAGCCTCTTTTTTGGCGGGCAGACTTGCATACAATTTTGATGTTTTTTGATAGTTTTTAATTTTTTTTATTTTTGAGAATATAAATTTTTTGAACGTTGGCGTGTCAAATGAAAGCTTTTGGCTCTTTCTGATTGGCTGAAGTAGAAAGCTTTCTGACACAACTCTGTGCTGAACTCATATATGTAATAATCCCATGATTCAATAATACAAGGTTGTGTAATTTGTGACAGCTAAAATTTGACACTCCTTTATATAGATTTGTATTTTGGAAGTAAGAGAAAGGGGAAGAATGTGATCGCATTTTGCGAAAGCAGTAGTAGGAATGTACAACAAAAAGTACGCAAAGTATATAATTAGAAGTAAAATGTGTATTATTAATTCTATGCGAATTTGCATTATATTTGGCGTTTTAATGGAAATACTAAACAATACATAGAAATATGCATTTTTGATTTAAGTTATTCGTCACCTAAAGCATCGTTCACTCCAAATTGGTACGCATGAAATGGGTTATATATAGACGGTCTCGCTTTGATTTCGGAATGCTTAAGCTGCCTTTACATGAGACGATTTTCCAGGCGATTCAACATTGCTCTGGAAAAATCGCTCGTGTAAATAGTGATTCAAAAATCGCTTGCCTCAAAGTAGAGAGCAAGTCAACTTTTGCATGCGATTATCGCCTGTCAAAAAATCGCCTCCTGTAAAGGCAGCTTTACACATTTATAGCCCGAACACAATGAAAACGACGAGCTACAAACCACAGCTGTCAAATTATTTTAACACGTACTCTTATGTAGATAATTATTTTGGCGACGACCGGGCTACGCGACGGCTGTGGTTGTGGCCAGATTAGATCTATTTCTATTTTTCTGGCGACAGATAAGGTTCTTCCTCTTCTTTTATGTCAAACTCATACAAATTCATGATGTCGCTGCCGCGTTCAAAGAAATCATGTCGCCATCGACAAAGCGTTTAGATAATGAAGATAACAAATTGGAAGCTGTGGTCTGTAGCACGTCGTTTTCAATGTGTTCAGAACTTGAGAAGTTAGCTTACTGCCAATATAGAAGTATTACATACATATATCTCAAAAAACTTTTCAAGAACGCCCTATTTCAGAATTCGTTTCAAAAACGCCCTATCTCAGCTGCCGATTCAAAAACGCCCTATATCAGCATATTTTCAATACATTTTGAAGTGAGATAGGGCGTTTTTGAACCGAATTTTGAGATAAGGTGTTTTTCAATTAAATTCTGAAATAGGGCGTTCTTGAAAAGTTTTTTGAGATAGAGCGTTTTCGAACTGGCTGCCGAGATAGGTCGAACTTCCACTCAGCCATCGATATATGGCTGAACTGGTTCTCAAACGAGTTGAATGATTTAACTGGTTAAATTTCCCAACAATAATTGCATGCGATTTAACATGTTTATAAACACGTTTGGTTCATTTAACTGGTTCAGGCCCATTTAACTCGTCAATTTGAACGTAGTATTAGGAATGAATAACTAAGATTAAAAATATGGAGGCTCGAAATCTATTTTAGAACTACGCTTACATGGACTATTTTGTTCAGAATTGCCAGAACACTTCAGTCGCCGAAACAAAGTCGGTTATATTCTTTAAGAACAATTTACATACATATATCACACAGGATTTATTAAATGCTCAATCATAATGTGTAACACGGTAATCAGCTATACTTTCATCGTAAATTGATATTACGTCAATTCCCTCCGGTGGTACAACGCCAGCATCAAGGAGCCGCCGCAATATATTAGCAGACTTGACATCAAAGCGATTGCCAAAGATTTCAATCCTGTGCAGTTTAACAGGCTTTTTCATTGCCGTTAAAATAAGATTCATTGCGTCAGGACTGATTCCATTCCATGTTATGTTGAGATATATAAGAAAGTAGCAGCAGTGTATATAATTCGCTACCGTCCGTCCACCATGGCTGCCCAAATTGTTACTACCAATATTTAAATGTGTTAAAGTACTGCTAAGGGCTATCGCGCGGAAGATATATTCAGCACCGTCAGATCCAATTGTATTGTATGCGAAATTTAGTTTTCGCATTTTGCTTTGTGGTGTCTCCAAGTACTTGCTTATTATCTCCATATCGCGTGCTTGAATCTCACATTTCTGCATCTCGAGCTCGTCCAGTTTATTTTGCCAGATAAGTAAGGATACTATATGGGCAACCTTGGTCGTGTCCACACTCATATGTTTACCCAATAGGCGATTGCAAACGAAACTGCGCAAAGACGTTGACTTATGCACTCCGTCGGCCAGTAATGGAAAATCATATTGGGAAACACTACAATTTGCCACATTCAAATGGCGTAGGATTTTCGACTCTGTTAAAAAGAAATATAAAGCCTCGATGTCCGGTGTCGTTAGGATAGTTCCTGAAATGAATGCATACTGAACCGTTAAAATAAATATCGTGATCCAGTAGCTAACCTTCCAGTATTAAGTCCTTGACACTCATGAGTACTACGTTATCCCTCATCAGCTCGAAAAATCGCGTCGGTAAATCCATTAAACGCAGTTCAATCAGGCGAATATTCGTAAGACCTTGGACGAAACTCTGTAGTATTTCGTGCTCATACGGCAATAAACGAATGCCTCTTAGTCGGCATGTGCACAGGCTTCGTGTCTGTAAGAACTTAACTATAACCTGGAAATCATAAACAGGATGAAATTTTCTCCGCATCCGTTCTTCAAAGTCTAAAAGATTGAAACGAAAATTTCTATAAGGGCGTCCGTCATATTCTCGTTGCCAGCAATCCAGAAGCAGAAGCGAAAGCTGTCTGCTAGATTTGGTATCAAACGGTTGTGGGCATGGTTTGTAGATTTCGCACATAACACCAAAATATCGCGAATCAATTACGTTTTATACAAATTTCTCCCGTATTTTATGTAGAAAATATACAAACAAAATTATGACACGACTCAGAAAAAACTTTAAAAGCTAAAATAAATGTTTAGAGAACTTAAAACCACAACCAACTATTTTCTAACACTGCGAAAATTCATAATATGACTTTGATGGTACTTTGCGAGCCCTCTCAATATATTTTTTAGGCGTTTAAAGTTTACGACATACAACAAAACGACACTTACGACACCGTTATGAATACCCCAAGATATAACTTTGCACGTTCCCGTGGCATTTCAAACTTTGAGACCAAAAGATATATCCAAGCATGATACAAAAAAGCATATATGTAATACTCCTATATTGGCAGTAAGAGCTACCCAGCAAACATTTGGAGTCATAAATGAGTCTTTAAGGAGTCCTATTTCGGAGCNGCTAGTACCGTCCGAAAACACTACAGTACAGATATATCAATAAACACGTACGAAAGAAAAGGAACACATACGTTTATAAATAAACATGTACACAACACATATACAAAAACGGCACTCAAGTACACAATACATTGACAAAAACAGTACTAGACTCCCTGCAAAAAGTGGGACTAGGTTAAATACTAGTACAGGACCATGCTACCTTGTAACCAAAATGGTCCAAATATATGGAGAAAATATGGTTACATTAACATTGCGATGTCATTGGACCTGACCACCTCTGGTCCAACGCTGCATAACATGGGACCATTTCTGGTCCGCCGCAGCATAACATGGGACCACCTAAACAACTACTCCTTTTGGACCATGGCACATTCGGCAGCCGTATCATGTTGCCGATGGGGCACGAAGAGGTGGTTCTCAACACATATATCAGCTTTTACGTTTGAAGTGGTCCAGGTAAGCATAACAAGTTACTAGTATGCAACCTGGTACTTTTGCACATACTTTAAAACTACGACCCAGTGGACTACCTGGTCCTCAAATTTTTGCAGGGCTGTCTCGCTCTATATAGAAGTATTACATTGTTATGTGTCCGTCTGCTACCTTTGGAGGGTTGCTTGCACCGCTTGCTTACGACCGCGGCGTGTGCACTCGCTCTTTGCACCGGCGCTTCAGTCCGGGGGGTTCATTATCACGGTCATAAACCAAGCAACCGTCTTCCGCACTTACGCCACTAACACGATAAGATTTTGAAATTTGCACACTAGAGAAGAACCGGAAACCGTCTAAAATGATAAACCTGTCTCCAATGGAAAGCCCCAGGATCTCTATAGCCTGCAGCAGTTAGTTAGCTCTGCTGCACCTAGCCCACCCTACCATGGCTTTGTGGTTGGTATAAAGCCCCAATTTACTCCCACACTCCCTTCAGAAATGAGACTAAAAATATGAAATTTACAAATTCATATTGATATTTATTACAAGTATTCAGCTAAATACGTATATATATAAGTATAAAAAAAAAGAAAGAGGAAAAAAAATGATTTTCGCAAAATAACCTAATTGTAAAACTCTAATGACAATTATTCATTACTATCCTTATTACTAACATTTTTTTCCAGACTTAAGCTAAATTTAAAACCCTAACCTACCTTAACTTTTTGTGTTATGTGGTTATTGTACCCGCGCTCATTCTAATATACTAGATATGTAAATAATTGTGTGCACTCCAAATTAAGAGAAACTAAATAGAACAAACGGCCGCTGTGGTGTAGTGGTAAGCAGTGCGCGCTTCCACTCCGCAACGCCTGGGTTCAAGCCCTGGTCAAAGCAACATCGCAAAAAATGTAGAAAAAGGTTTTTTCTTAACAGCGGTCGTCCCTCGGCAGGCAATGGCAAACCTCCGAGTGTATTTCTGCCATGAAAAACAGCTTCTCATAAAAATACAATCGCCGTTCGGAGTCGGCGTAAAACTGTAGGTCCCTCCGCTTTGTGTGACAAC